CCTAAATATATATATATATATATATATATATATATATAATTAATATAAAATCTGCACTACGCCACTAACCACACTTTCAAAATTTTTCAATACGATTTTATTTTATTTTATTTCACTAATTCTATATTATTCAACTATTTACTTAATTTTATTTAATTGTTTAAAATATGTTGGTTTTACCAAGGTAATTGCATTCACTCATATATTTCTGCATGCTTAAAAGTAATTTTTTCGTGATTTTATATGTTTTAATATTTCTAACTATTTGACTCAGGCTCTGACGATGGCACTAGCCAAAACTAGCCAAAACGGCCGTCAGCAAAAGCGTTGTTTTAAATAAAGTTGAATCTACCAATCTACGACGTGTTGAATTATTATTCATAAAAGTTATAACAACAAATTGGGGAATTATTTTCAATAAAACCTGCTTATCCGAAAACCTCGTTCCAAATTATATATATATATATATATATATATATATATATATATATATATATATATATATATATGTTGGTAATAGAAGTTTTACAACATTATGTTTTTACAATATTATATAAATTCTACCGAATGTTTGGCGTTAATATGTTTGTAGTTCGTTTTTTCGATTTTTCTCACTAAAGTTTTTTTGTGAACGTTTAGTTTATTAAAATTCAAAATAAACTTATTTGACAACGTCAAAGTTCATCTTGACAAAGTCAATATTTCCCTATATATACAACAAGGAGCACTGATGATGATTCATTCGGAATATGGCCTTATTTGCAGCATGAATTCGAAAAATAAATATTAACGCCAAACATTCGGTAAAATTTATAGAATATTGTAATATATATATATATATATATATATATATATATATATATATATATATACGATCATTAACACACAAAGACAGACTAATGGTAAGTTCCGGTTAGCTAGGTCATTATCATTGCACATGCAAATTACGATTCGCGTGCAGCTATTGCTATAGCAGAGTATAACTTTGTTTCCACCAATTAACGCAACAACACGTGGTCAGGTTATCAATGACCCCACCGAGCAAGATTATTATCAAGCAATGCAAAAAAAACTAATATTTTTAAAATTAATTCAATTTTATTATAATAACTTTTTGAAAAATATTTTTGGTTTTGTTGTTTTTAAATAATAATCGTAAAAGTGAATGTGTTTGTAAATATTTCAGCTTTATAATTTCAGGTGTATACATGTTGACTAGTAATATCCGACTCCGGCTGAATATCAGTTTTTACTATCCAGTTATATCCGCTCCGGTAGGTTATAAAAAAGTAACTATCCGATGCAACCCTATAAAAAATGTCATTGTTAAACAACTGCAAGCGGACAATCTTCCAATAGCTGACTGTTGATCCCAATGCTATGATAATGCAGCTGTAATTGCAGGAGAACTGAGAGGATTACAACAAAGAATTTCCATTCAAAATCCTCGTCCAATTTTTGTTAATTGTAACAATTATAGCCTAAATTTAGTTGGATTACATGCTGCCAAACAGGATCTAGTTCTTATAACATTTTTTGGCATTGTTTAAAAGCTTTATGTTTTTTAAGTTCTTCAATTGATCGATGAGAAAAAAATATAACAGAACGTCTTTCGATTACATTGAAAAAAAATGTTCAACGCGCTGGAGTGCACGAAAAGATGCAGTGAACGCCATCCAAGAACAATTTGATAAATTTTCACAGCTGTTAGAAGATCTGTATGAAAATGGTACCCAAACAAGTAACACTCAAGATGATGTATACAGTTTGTTTCAAAACGTAATTAATTTTAATTTTATCACTCTATTCCATTTCGGCAAACAGTTTTGTCAGCCAATAAATTTTTATCATGCATCACTTTCATATTCATATTTTTATATGAATTTAGAAAGACCCCAACAGCGGCCAAATAGCATTCAAAAAGACTTTTGCATAACTGCAGTCAATGCAGCCAAAAATCTATGTGAAAAGCTAGAAATCAGAATAGAAGGAAAAATAAAACATCAGAAACAGATGCCGAATGAGAATGCTCGTGATCTAAAGTTTAGTGCGATTGAAGAAATAACTCGCATTATAAAATCAGTTATTGGCAGATTAATCCAAAAAATTACAGCCCGATTTGATCGTTTAAAAACATTAGACGAAAAGTTTTGATTTCTTTTCGACGTCAGCAAGTTGCTTGATAATGACAACTCAAAACATATTTAACAGCAGTGTACCGCACTGACTGGCTTTTATGAAACTGATATTGATGGAAAAGGACTGTTTATAGAAATCAATGACTGCAGTATGTTGCTGAAAACTTGACCAGAAGCCGTCCAGCTAGAATTACTGCCATTTATTTTTACGTATGGTAATGACATTTTTCTGAACTTACAAATTGCTTTGCAAATTATGATGACCATTTCTGTTTCAATTGCAAGCTGCAAGCGTTTATTTAGCAAACTAAAAAAGATCGTTTGTCTGATTTAGCATTTCTAAGCACAGAAAAGGAACTGGTTGAAACAATTGATTATGATGTCAATGACAAATTTGCAAGTGCAAAATCAAGAAAAGTGCCTTTGTAAAAAAAACTACTGTCGCTACAAATTGTTTACAAAATTTATTTGAATTTTTGTATGAATATGAGATTTGTATTAGGTTCTTTACTTTTTTATAGTTAAATAAAAAGATATGAGTTTTTATAATTATGTGAATATAGATTACAAATATTATTCGCAGGTAGGGCGCTGACAGGTTTACCTGCCTCGGGCGCCAATCACTCTTGCTACGCCAATGCACACCACCACCTTTTGATGTGCCTCGATGTGTACCTTAAAACGTGTAACTATTCATTTCACCTAAAGTTTCCGTGACAAATGAAAGCCACGTTTTAGAAAATGCTAATAAATCGAAGTCAAATTGAAATTGTCTCAAAAATTCTTCTAGTTTATTGACTAAACTGCGTAATCTAGATGTAGCAAACTAAAATTGTTTGAATAATTAGTACCATAATTATTTTTCTTAGTATATTTATTATTTCTGCCATTTAAATTTTGAACAAAGCTATTTTGTATGTCATAGTTAACCATGAATTTCACTAGTTTCATAATATATTTTATCAACATAAATGTCTGTTGAAGCTTCGAGTTTATTCATTGCTATGTTTAATTGTGGATGTATTTGACGACAAATCATTGAAGCACAACTCTCAAACTATTATTTGTTTTTTCCATTTTTCTTCTTTCATAAACTCAGCCGTCGATGTTTCAGCATTAGTATTTTGTGTTTTGTTCGATGTTGTAATTTGTTTAGAGCGGTGATTAAAAATTGAGTTTTTAATTGGTGAGCAACTAATCACCTCAATTTATAGCCCATCAATCGGCTCGGATAACTCTTTTGAGGTGCATTGTTGATCCAACCGACCAATGCAAAAAATCTTTATTAGCGATTAATTCATTCCTTTCAAATTTGAATGTGTCTTAATAATTTGCTTTTTTATTATCTTTTTTATATTATACACGATAGGCTGGCGGAATATTTTCATGCTGTGTCTGTGTGATTTGTTGTTTGCACCTAAAATGTTAATGTTTGACTCGTGTTGCATATAAAACCTTCTTTTATTATCACATTTTAGTATCTCTGTCTAATCAGATTGTTTATTTCTGTCACGCCTATTTCTGCTACAGCATCAGTTTTTGTGCTTTTAGCTAACATCGCATTATTCATATTTTCTCAAAAAAAATTTCTTTCTTTTTCTAATTTTGTCAACTCTTCCTCCAAAATCGTTTCAAATTCAACATTTTTTGTGTTCGAAATTTTAGAGAGAATAAGGCAACGTATTATGGTAATATGTTCTCAATTTTGCTAATTATAATTAATTTCATTAATTTTACTAAATCGCTAACCCCTAACATTGTTTCATTTGGAATTTCCAGAACCTATTATCTTGATTTTTTTCAACTTTTTCTAAATTTAAAGTTTCTAAGTCGATAGACAGCGGTTTGTTACCAGTTCTAATATCTTCAGAATTATAGTAATCCATTACTTTATTAAAATAACACAGTAACTCGTTTACGCAGATCGATCGCTCGTGACATCTTATGCATACACACACAACACACCCACACATAAACAAAAATAAATAAAATGTTTGTTCATGAGCAGAACAAACTTGATAATGAACTTGCCGTAACTAAGTTGCAAATTGAACAATGCTTGCAATGCTGTGATATTATAAAAATGCATATCAGGTAGTCTTAACACATAACACACACACACACACACACATATATATATATATATATATATATATATATTTCTGTGATGGCCTCATATGTACTTATTTTACCTTTGAAAGGCCGCATATGTACTTTAAATAGCAAATTTTTTCGACCCAGAGAAAATTTTTTTTAAGATTTGTGGTTCCTTTTTTTTGTTCATAATGTCTGGCTGACGACTTTTTTGGCGAACAAGGTCACGCGGACCGCATAAAATAGCTTTGCGGGCCGTAGTTTGCTCCCACCCTTGATCTACAACATCGATGAAACAAGAATTAATTACTACGGTACATTGTTCGAGCAGAATTGTTGTCGGAAAGGTGTGAAGCAAGTTGGTGCTATTGTTTCGCAAGAACGTGGTCAAATTGTTATTCTTTCAATAAATTTTTTGATCTGAAAATGTTTCTACATGGCAATAAAATATAAAATTGCTATATAGAAATAAATTATTAAATACTGGTTAAACGTGTTCCAATATTTGGTGCAACATGCCCCCGTGAGTGGGGTAGGTTGAACCCAATGACAGGCTTGCAAATTGTCAAATTCTATTGTCAAAAAAGCACGCTAGAATTGAATATATTTATTGCAATACGTAATAGACATATTTATACATAATATTGATTGATAAATCTACTAAAAAAAATTGTTTTGATTTTTACAGATTTCAAGTACAAATTCACCATAAAATTGCAATTGGTTGATAGATAATGCACAGCGCAAATTCCTACAAACACCTACTTTATGGGCAATGTGGAGGAACAACTTGATCGATGTCAAACGATTAAAACCACACTGAAAAAAAGTTATTTACAAATTGCAGCAATTACTTCATGAGTACCATGCCCCGGTTCGACTGTTCAAAACGGCGTTGATTCGGGATTAGAAATAGAATGAATGGATAGAAATTGTTCAACTGCTTCAGTCCAGACAAACTTCATGTGATCAACATGATTTCACCGCACATGTCTTTAGATAAAAAAACGGTCCCTGATGGATTACATTGTTAAGCATTGTGTCTTTGAGAATACTCGATGCTGTATGTGTTCCATTCAATGGCAAAAACGAGGTTTGCCACATGCCCATATTAGTTAGTCGTGGAAATACAACCAGACCACATAGATGCAAAAATTAATATGCTCCTCATATCAACCCCCAATCATTGAAAGGTCAACCAAAAAATTTTACAAGGAAAGTTCTCATTTAGAGAAATGCGACTATAGAAAGCGATATGACATTAAGAAATTAATTCAATTTGTTTATCTTTCGCCAAAACGCTCAAAAGATAACATGTTATATTTTTATTTGACATTTTTGACAATTTTTGTAATTATTTTTAGTCAAGTGATTTATATCTGACGATTTTTTTTACGTTAGCAGCTCTGTTAAAATGAGGAATAACTTTTTTGATTAATGGAACTCGGATTGTATTGCTTCCAAGACATGTCAGCGTGTATGTGTGTTTTTAATTATGTTGATTCATTTTTCTAATCACATTTGTTAGATAAAAAAAAACATATGCAATAACAGCTCCTAATTCGGATTCAGCGTTTTTATCGCTGTTATAGAATATCGACGCTCACTGAAGCGTCTTTAAGCGTAGCGAAGAATTACGAAGCGCAATTTTCTATAATTTTAAAAAATTGCTAACACGTAAAAATAAAGAAATATAAACAGCTTAGTGAGCTAACGTTGTGTTTGTAATATTGATTGTCGTCTGCCATGCATCTGTTAAGATCCTCAAAATCGCTATCAACAAGAATATTCACGTCCTCAATAGGAGTTTTTGTTGAACAACATGAAAGTGGTAACTTAATCGTTCTATCACCGTCCAGAGTTGGTATGGTACGATAGCTTGCCGTATGATTGTAATCTTTAAAGCCATATATTCCACAGCAGTTAAACTTTAAAAAGAATGATGCATCATTTTAAAAACGAACAGATTTACGACTAAAACTTGTATTTTATATAATTAGACAGTCAAAAATAGACGCACAAAAATATTTCTTATACCACATTTATATATGTAAGGTAATAGAGGCGACTAGAAACTGAAATTGAAAAACCGGGACAAAATAAAGCGGCAAATTTTTTTTAAATTATTACATAAAATAACGGCAAAAACTCTGCGTCTGGTTTGCCAAAGCAATTGCCCTAAATTGTACTCTTCTTTCCCTGGTTCTTTTGCTGTGTATTATTTTGTTAATGATAAAAACTTTGCACGGTCATTGAAGGCAATCTTATGTTTCTTCGTTGCAATATAAGTAATATCAGATCTGCCACCGTGAGCAATAGAAATAGTTGACATGCAGACATTGAAAATACAGTACTGTTGTCGACAGCATTGCTGGTTAAAAATGAAAATTGAGCTTTCAGTTCATCGTTAAAATAACATTTACGCTTGAACATTTTTAAAATTTAGTTTATTATATTATAGTTTTATTTTTTAACTTTAAAAGACGTTTTCTTGTTAATAATAAAAATGAACGAAAAAAATATTAAATTCTTTTGAGTCGGAAACAAATCTAACATATCTAACCAAAGACGCTAAAGCGTGTTCAAACGAAGTTAAAATTTAAAAGTTATTTTTTTTCTTTTACTTTGAAACAAAAAAGTTAAAAGTTGATGTATTTTTTATAAAAAAAGAAAATTAGAACATTTTTGTAGTTTGGAAAAAAATCGAGACATTTTTGCAGTTTGGAGAACGTTTCCCGGCAGCCGGGACATCTAGCCACAATAAGAATTGTCCCGAGAAAACCGGGACGTCTGATCAGCTTATTGTAAAGTGCTATAGCGATGGGGTAAGAAAAAGAGGTGCTGATATTGGTGATGATTAATATTACAAGTTTTATTGAGAAAGGGTTTTGCGTAGCTGTTATTTGATGGTGAATACGTCGGGTTGAAAATTGAGTAATTGCTGGCAAGTGTATTGAGTCATACGTTCGTTGCAGATGTGGGCGATAATTAGTGACAAATCGAAACAAAATGAGAAACGACTAAAAGTAAAAAAAGAACGAAAAAAATTAATTAATAAAACAGAACACTAACTTAATACAAAATAGAAATTAGCTAAAGATAAAATTAGATAAAATAAGATTAAATTAGTTTGTTTGTCAAAAGGACTACCGGAAAAAATGCTAAAAAATAGCAATTACTGCTACTATTTTTAAAACCTAGCAAAAATGGGCTACGACTTAATATGTGTCATGAAATGTATATAGTGATGAGTTTGATAAAACAATCCCATTTAATCCTATTATAATTATTAAGAAAAAAAATCCCAGTATTTATAATATTGATAGCGTATAATTAATTTTTGACCCATCACTTAATGTTTAGTGGCTAATCAATTAAATACTATAATTTTGGTATGGATAGCAATTACTATAGTTGCTGGGATAAAGTATGTTCGGATATCAACGTCTATACTTATGTGTATCTACGGTTAGTTCGGGTTAGTTGTACAAAAATTATGTTTTTTGGGGAAAAATAATTGGTGATGCACGGCCATTTTATTATGATAAATATTACATTATTGATAAAAACACAAAAAAAGATAAGATTGTGATATTATTTGAAAAAATATTAGATCTAGATTCACATGCATCAAACCAGAGGGAGCCCTGTCAAGCACGACGATCTAAAAAAGATATTATATATGCTGAAATATTATCCCAATGCATGAATCAATTAAATATAATCAAAATTAATAAAATTAATAAAAAATGAATAAGTATTTATTAATGAACCAAAAAATGTAAAAATTGTAAAATTTAATGAATTGTTCATGGAAACTAATAAATGAGTCAGATCCTAAAGCGCACTAAAAAATGTGCATGAGTGCGTTCGAGGGCCAACATAGATATTTTAAGTAATGCATCAAACGATGAGAAGATATTAGGTACCATTCAATTTAAAAAACCAAGAAATCTCTAGATTTATTTAAATAAAATAAAATTTTCCTAGATCGAAAAAGTAATAGACATAAAATAATGTGTTCAATTAATTAAATTATAACAAATAATCAATAAAGTAAGTCTGAACAAAGTTTGTTTGGTTTAAAAAATGTATATTTCACAATATAATGCGATAAGGTAAACTTTAATTATAAATAGTGATTTTAATAATAACATTAATTTTGACTAACATTTAGTTGCAATGTTGTCCATGTGTTGTTTGATACACTGAACGTATCTTTCAAATATACTAAATCTGTTACGTTATCAATTGAATTAAAAGTTCGGCATAGACATAGAAACAAGATTCAAAACGAAAAAATTTTTTAATATAATATTAATTCATCTCACACTCAAATTGTCACCACAGATTCACAGATAATATTTAATTTGAAAAATACCGGATGAAAATTTGTTTACAACTAACATTGCATGATAAGAAAAAACATTTATAAAAAACATCTAGTAGAAAACCTATCTATTGTACTTAAGTCACTTTTTACGAATCTATTCAAAAATATTTTTCTCTGTCTCTTCTTATGACAGTTTTTTGTACGGACAATCAAACAACATAAATTTCGTTTGTCCGTAAATCCAACTTATCCATATCTATTAAATTATTTATTATGATAACGCATCTTTTATTCACATTAGATAAATATTGCTTAATTATAATTAATTATCCATACATACGGAATGGGATATTGAGCGTAGTTCTGGGATTAAAGAATGATTCAGTGTTTCTGTTACCGTTGGCACTCAAATAAACGTTTAAACAAATCTGCGTTTGAAGCAGTTATGTTTATCTATCAGATCAGTGAACCTTCGGAAGATCGAAATCTTGACGATTGTGCAAGTTACAACAACTGGTGTCCGAAGCGGATTTTTGATAAATCGATACACTAATTGGAGGAAAGTACTAAGAAAACAAAACCTCGACTCAAAAAAAGCAAAGACATTTTTGATAAACCGACTAAGAGACTCTCTTAAAAACAAAGGTAATAATCCCGATGATTTTGACTTTCAGGATCCGGATCCAGTAAAACAACAAATAATCAAAATGAATAGATTTGACCAATAGGTCATAAAAAATAAATAAATAGGAAACTTGACCAACCGGTAGCCGAATCTAAAGAAATGTCAGCCAAAATGAATAAAAAACTCGAAATATTAGTCAAAATTGAATTACAGGCAGTTGAACAAAAAATGGCAGCCGAAATGAATAGAAAACATGATCGGCAGGCAACCGAAATAAAATACAAGGTAACCGAAATGTCAAAACTAAAAGGATTAAAAAGCAACTGAAATGTCAAAAGAAATAAAAAAAACTAAACGACAAGATAGAACAACAATCAAGAGACTTCAAAGCGGAATTAAAAGCAACAGATCAATAAAATGAACTAGCAATTGAACCATAAAATAAAGCAAAAAACGGACAAATCAAACAAAAGAGTTGAAGAGCTAGAACAGAAGCACCAGCGAGAAATAAAGACAGTTGCCCAAGAAATAGAATAAAAAAGAAGCACCATACAAGGTTACGCCTCTGCCATGTCAATAAAAGCACCAACATTTGACGGTAACATACACTTGAAGATCTACCAGACCAAGTTCAAAGCAAAAGCATTCAGCTACGGGTAAAACGCTAAACAATAAGCAACGGCACTGGCGATAAATAAAGCTTATCAAGTGAACGACGTGGAACAAATCGACTCTCGAAGATATGCAAGTTCCATCTTTTTAACGTCTGCTACTAACGCGGCGGGAAACAAGTAAAAAACCAACTTTGTTAGGCTCAAGTTGGCTGGGAAAACAAACGCCCCAAAAGCATTATTCAAGTCTCAAGACTGGGAAATGATTTTTGAGTTGAAGAAAAGATAGAGACCTAAGCAAATGTACAATTACTATCGATGCAAAAACAACTAAGTGTATTTTAAGACAAGATATAGTAATGGATTTGAAACAAAAAAAAATCTAAAAAATACCTTAATCAGACTGCTATTGGAAAAACGGAGCTTGTTTGCAGGAAAGTTTTCTACACTGTAGAGATGAAAGACCTGGAGTTTGACGGAACGTTCCTGTGGCAGACATTACTTATCCGGTTTCCAGTGGTTTTTTACCTTGGATCTAAAAGCGGGTGCTGGTAGGTCAAGATCAAAATAGATGACCTAAAGAAGATTGTCTTTTCATTAAGAAAAGGTCTGTGGAAATTTATTTAACAGCTAATAGAATACATATTGAGGAAGCATACGTAGAAAACGTTTCGTGTTTTTAAAATTTTATTTGATTAGCACCTATCAAACTTGCAAAAGGTATTTTCCAGACTCTGTGCAGCAAATCTCAAGCTGAACAGAAAGAATTGCTAATTTTTTTCAAAGAAAATGAATTACCTTGGACTCATGGTAACACCAAAAGGGGCAAGAGGGATACCAGCAAAATAGACGTAGTAAGAAGCTGTCCAGTACTCAAAAAAATAAACATGAAGTGCGTTCCTTTCTTATGCTAGCTACTCATTACCGACAAATCATCAAAGACTTTGCCCTTATGGTAAATCCAGAAAAAAGACCAAAATACCAAGCGTTCGTGAGGAATGACCCTCTACAACAGCTATATCACTCCAATTTTTTCACCCTATTTAAAAAAGACGTTCATCCTCGACACAAACGCCAGTAACAGCAAAATAGGAACTGTCCTGTCACAAGACATCAATAAAAATGAAAGGGTACTGGCATATTATGGCAACAAGCTTTCAAAGTCTGAGCGCAACGAAGGGAGCTGCTGGCTATGGTAGGTGTAATAACGAATGAAGTTACGGAAAAATACTAACTCCGTACACCCCTAATGAGTACAACCTACAATCTTCCAAAAAATTCATAAGTTTGTTTAACACAAACCAGCCATCCAATTATATCGCTTCACTTGATGTAGAATCATTGTTTACCAATGTTCCCATAAAAGATACCATTGACATAATAATTATTAACACCGTTTAACACTCTAATCAGACCCAATTAAAAATACTTAAACACATGCTAAAGTCATTGTTGCAAATTTGCACCATCGTTCTGTATCCCCAAAGGAAAACTATAGAAGTAGATAGGCGGAGTTACCATGGGCTCACCTCTAGGTGTTCTTTTCGTCAAGTGTTTATATTATTGCATTTCTCAAAAATCGAAATAAGGCCTTATCTGCATGATGAATTCGGATAACAAAAGTTTCATTAAATTTTTATGATAAACTTGGATAATTTTATTTTCAACAAATTGAAAATTTTCCAAAAAAAAATTTTAATAAGGAAAACTGAAAAGACAAATTTTAAAATGGTAGAATTTATAGAATATTGTAAAAATTATGGTCTATTGCCAACATATATATATATGTTGGCAATAGTTGCAACGTCTATTTTGCTGGTATCTCCAGCAACAACTTGACCAAGCGCGAGAGAAAGAATCCTGTGCCACTCAACAGTATAAAAGTATCCTTGACGATATTGAAAAAGATAGACAGATTGATTCTAACAGCTTCAAAGCTTACACACAACAAAAATATGACTCTTATAACTCAACTAAACGTGAAATAATCTTAAAAAAGCTACAATATTTGTTTAAAGGTAGCATTATTCTCCCTGACAACACTATCGAATCATACGTTAATCTTTCTAATCATACCCTAGCCGACGATGAAGTTTCCTTTTTGAATTTAGGTTTGAATATGCATTTTAGACACAAGTATAGCAATATACACAAGGAAGTAGAGCTGGAGATGCTATACAATCAACTTCAGAGATTGAAAAAGCAACGGATTATTGACTTTGAACATGGCTTACACAGTCAACTGCAGGCTGAATCTCATCGACATCGAAATGGATATCGCAAACCTGTTCTTTCGAGGGAATTACTCAACGCAGCTAAACGTCTCCGTTCCAACATTGATCTAACGATACGTAAATCAGATAAATCTAATATGTATGTGATACTAAATAAAACAGATTACCTTCAGCAAATCAATAATATCCTGGCTGACACTACTAAGTTTGAACGCATTACAAAAGATCCTACTAGCGATATAAAAACATCGGCCAATAAGTTGATTGCACAAGTTAATTTAGCTTCAACTATCAATAAACTTACGCCTATCGTAGGTGATTACGCACCTGGATATATTTATGGTAACGTGAAAACACACAAGTTGAATAACCCTTTGCGTCCTATCATTTCACAGTGCCCCACGCCAACATATCAATTGGCAAAAACAATCAATAAACTGTTGCAACCGTATATTCCACGCACATTTTCTGTTAATTCTAGTTGTGAGTTTATTGATATCATAAATGGCAATAAACAGTGTGATGGACATATGGCTTCTCTCGACGTTGAGAGCCTATTCACAAATGTTCCAATCGAACATACTATCGACATCATATGTTCACATGTTTACAACCATCCCACACTACCTCAGCTTGATATACATCCAGATTTACTCAAAAATATTTTGCGATTGTGCACTGTTCAGAGTCCGTTCACTGCTCCCGATGGTTTACTTTATCTGCAGGTGGATGGTGTGGCGATGGGATCTCCTCTTGGCCCACTTTTCGCTGAGTTTTATATGTCGGATCTTGAAACTCGCATATTTAAAGAACCAGATACCAAGCCGTTGATATATGCACGATATGTTGATGATATATTCGTCATTTGCAAAACGGTTTCTGATGTGTACTGTTTGCGGAATGTCTTCCAAAATAATTCCCATCTAAAATTTACTATCGAGTTCAGCAAAGAAAATGAAATTGCGTTTTTGGATTGTCTTATCATGCAACACGAGAAACAAATAATTTCAAAGGTCTATGTTAAGCCAACCAACTCAGGTCAGGTGCTTAATTACAACTCAGATTGCCCTGAAAAATATAAATATAACGTAGTTTATAATTTTGTGCACAGGGCACATAAAATTTCATCCAATAATACTATTTTTCATAGTGAATTAGTTAGAATCAAACAATTCTTAATAAACAATAATTACCCGAACAAGTTAATAGATACCATTATTCGCAAATACTTGAATAAAATCAGTGACTCAACATCTGTTTCTTTGCTACCATCGGCTTCAACAAAAACAATAATACCGATCTTTTACCTTAATCAAATGCATGACAACTACAAAATAGACGAATTTCAACTTTAAAATATTATAAAATCTAATATCTCCATGTGTAATGGTGAACATAAACTTAAACTCATCATATATTATAAAACTAACCGGAAGGCTTACGATGCACATACAGAACGGTGCCATTAAAGATCATATGCTCAAATCTCACAGTTTGCCACTAACCAAAGCATTACTTGATGTTAACACGAAAATACTTGAACAACGTGCCGTTCATACCAATATCCTAGAACCACCAATGTTGCGCCACTTCGAATACGAGCCAATGCCAAAAGAAGCGATACTGTTTAATGGTGAACATGTTACCACTCGTCATAGGACTAATGTTTCCGTATCGCTGGTTTCTTTATTCGACAGTGCATCTTAACATCCATATTAGCTGTGATACATTACAATTACTTGTTTTATTTTTATTTTATTTTATTTTATTTTTTCATTTTATTTCATTTATTTTATCTTATTCCATTATATTTTTTCATAAATAATCTATATTCCATTTTAATCTAATTTAGTTGTTTCATTTACGGATTCGTTATTAAAATTTCTTATATATCATTATAAACTTAATAATTAATTTTGACAATTTTCCATATTCTTTCCACACATGTCTTCTTTTCACATTCAACTAACTTACGTTTTATTTACATCATCCGATTTTAACAAATTTTCACCGAACTAAACTTCAGTATTAATTTATTTGTTTTAATATTTAATTTAATTCTATTTTACTAACTTTTTATATACATTTATATTTTTAACCATAAATTTAATTTGTACATGTTTTGCATTGTTTTCACTAACAAAGGTTTCTCGTTATTTTCTTAATAATTTTATTACACATACATTTAATATGCATTCTAATTTCATAGGCTCTGAAGATGGACTTCCCGAAACAGCGCTGTTAGCCTTACCATGTCTATTGTTTTAAATAAATAGGAGTTTAATAAATTCAGACTTGTTGAGTGTTCATTAAAGAAAGTCATTAATGCAAAATGGGCATATATCTTCAATGATGTTTGTATTAAAGAAAACCTCGGTCCGAAATATATATATATATATATATATATATATATATATATATGTGTGTGTGTGTGTGTGTGTGTGTGTGTGTGTGTGTGTGTGTGTGTGTGTTTAACTTAAATCATTTTCATGTTTTTTTAGTTCAAAACCAACATTTTTGTTTATTTTATGCATGATTGAACAGAAAAGTAACTTGTGCTCAACCGATATATATATATAAGTAGCGACATTTTTTACATCTGTTAACCAATGACGAAACTCCGGAACCACGTTTTCAACGCTTTCAAAAGCCAGGTCAGATTTGTGAGCTATGCACTAAAATGTCAACATGTTGTGCCCTAAATACTCAGACATCTTTAACCACAACCCTCCGTGACGTCCAGTATTTGAATTTTCCCCATCTGTCGTGAGACCCACCATCTTTGCTTTAATGACATCTTCAATTTTAAGATACTGGAAACGTTTCTGCAAAGCATCGACCATCCCAATTACTCCTCTTAACTCACTGTGGCATTTGCCAAGAAAACTAGCTTTCATCTCAAAATTAGTGTTGTCCATGTATCGGGAAGTAACAAACAGACTGTCAGCATTGTATTTATCAACAGATTTGTCAATTTGCAGAGCGACACAGTCTGCGATTTTCAATGCTTGAATAACTCTGCTCAATTCATGCTTGGACACAAATGATAATATCTCTCTGTACCGGTCAGGATTTCATTTAACCGTATTATCTATATACATTTCAAATTATAAATTGCAGTTTGTACGTGCATCGTGAGTCTTTTCGGTAACTTAGTTGTCTTCATGCCAATATTCAGAATTATGGTGCCCACACTCACCAATATTACATTTGAACAAATATATTAGATGGCTATGATCCATTATCGATTCTAGTTAATCTTCATGGTCATCTTTGGATGTGGAATCACTTATACAAATGTCCTTGTAGAGGACACAAACAGCATAATAATAGATAAAATATACGTAAAATCGTTATATTTATCGATAATGAAAACACGTAAAAATGTTATATTTACTGATAATGAAAACACGTAAAAATGTTATATTTACCGATAATGAAAACACGTACGACGTTGAAGATTGTAAAACTAAATATTCACTTTGAACAAACAAGGCACAGTATAAAAAAATTTGAACATCTGGGCACAGCCATAACATATCAGTTTGAACACCGAAGATGGTATAGGAATACCGAAAAAAACTTTTCTGTTCTATCATGCATAAAATAAACTAAAATTTTGGTTTTGAACTAACGAAACTTGAAAATGATTTACTATCAACCGTTTGAAAAATCGAAAAGTTAAATTGGAAGTTAACTAACGCCGAACATGCTGTGATTTTCATAAATATGTTAAATTGGAAGTTAATTAACTATATATATATTGGTATTAAATATATTATACATTAATAAATTAAATATACAAATAATTTTATGCATACACGAATCATTGGTCATTATTGCTTATTGTAAGTAGGATGATGATTTTCTAAGATTATAATTTTTCATCGGTAAATTATCTTTAATTAACCTGTAATCTATTGGTAAAACGATACAATGGAAAATAATCGATATATCGGTAATTTACTGTTTTACGGTATGCTAAATAATTTTGTACTGTTGATTGGTATCGATATCGGCACAGACTGAATAATTTCATTGTCGATGTCCGTATCGTCAATGTACCAATGAAAATTACTAATGTATCGATGTTTTCGGTACATCATTATATTTCGATACATCGGTTTGGTAACGCTCTTGTCTATAATTTTAATCAGATTTTAAATTTAGTAAATTTTCCAATTTTAGTTTCATTCAATTTCAAAAGTTACAATTTTTAATAAATGGTTTTGTTTTCAAAAAAAATTTCAGGCTTTATAAAAATTGCTATTTGAAAAACATGAAACTTTAACAATAAAAATCAAACTTTTCACAACAAAATAACAGTTTTTATAACACAAAATAGTAGTAAAAAAAAACATACCCTCGTGGTAAGATTTTAGAAAGTTTTTCTCCATGTTGATTTTTAGATGTTTATTGAACTGGGTAACAACATTGAAATTATTAAAAAAAACACTAAGTATTTAATTAATTATTTAGTTCAAATTCAGTTCTTCAACATTTTATCAAATATAGGTGAATTTCAATTCTTAACTCCACATGTCTGCTTCCTTGTTCCCGATCATAGTTCAAATATATTATTACTAACAATTCATCTCAAAATAGGTATTATTTAAAAAAAACAGCTTTTAAATCCCAAACATGCAAATTAAATTTTTGTCAGTCTCTAGTTTAAATTAAAAGACAAGGTTTAAGTTTGTCAAATATATTAACCATTGTTGGATGCTGACAAACAATCACAAGCGCGGACTGAAATAATGTCACAACCAATACAAATATTGCAAACTGTGAAATACAAAAATAATTACGCTCTAGAAAACAAAATTAAACTTTAAAAATCTATCTGAAATAATTTTATTTGTTAAAAATGAATATAAAAAGGGCGACATAAATGCTCTTTTTCAGAAAAAGTTATGGACTTAAAAATCCGGCTCGAGAAATAAATATTTATTTCAACCTACTTCAAATTCGATGATTCAAACAATTAGTTCTCACGCAATATTTTTATTTTATAAACTAACTACCGAATGCATTATCATTGATAAAATAATAATTCAGTTTTCACGTACTAAAATATAAGTATACAAACGGTACTGCTGGCAATACTTTTTAAAATGAGCAGCTGTATTGGTATCGACAATACATTATAAAGCCGACATTGGTATTGGCACAGGCGATAAAATGTTTGAGCTTTGTTAACAACCTTGTTATTTGAATGTCAATTATCAATTTACTCTACGAATGTTTTACGATGTTGTGTTACATTCAATGCAGTCTCTTTCAAGAATATATATATATATATATATATATATATATATATATATATATATATTATACTTAAAATAAAGTTAATTTTTACAACGTCAAAGTTCATCTTGACATATATATATATATATATATGTTGGTAATAGACCATAATTTTTACAATATTCTATAAATTCTACCGAATGTTTGGCGTTAACATGTTTGTAGTTCGTTTTTTTGATTTTTCTCACTAAAGTTTTTTGGTGAACGTTTAGTTTATTAAAATTCAAAATAAACTTATTTTTTGAATTCATGCTGCAAATAAGGCCATATTTCGATTCCGAATGATCAT